CTCTCTCTCTCTCTCACACACACACACACACACACACACACACACACACACACACACACACACACACACACACACATACACACATACACACACACACATACACACACACACACACACACACACACTCCTTATTTCACCGACTGCCCTTCATCTGCCCTTCTCATACCCTAAGCCTAGTTTTGACCTTTCACTCCCTCTTTCCTTTTGGCAAGCGACTAACTCTTCCCAGCTCACTTGTCGCATTGCCATAGGACGAACAATGAAAGAACTTGGACCTCACTTGGTCGAAAGAGATGGCAAGGGGAGGGTTGCCAGTCCCTTGCGCCACCAAGAAGGGAAAGTGTTTAAGGATTGGGAAGAGTGAGAGCATGAGGGACTTAAGGATTCATAAGGGCTTGAGGTCTGGCAAGGAGGTCAGTGGACTCGACCAACACCTCGACTGCATGAGAATGTGAAGAGGATGGCTTGGATATTGTAAAGAAACAGACAAGTAAGCAACCAAAAGAGAAAGAAAATAAGCATGCGGGAGGGATTATGTGTTGACCCCGAATGGGGGTTGTGCTTGTTTATATTGCATTGAGTGTGCAAGTGAGTAACCCTTAAGATGCCTTCAGCTGGATAACACCCCGATAGGCCGGGGGGCAAAAAGGGGAAGTTAAATAGGTTGTGAACGTAACCCTCCCCCATGGATGAATCTTTATGCATGTCGTCATGTTCTTGAACAGAAATGTGGTTTGAATGGTTGTTGTCTGCAAAAATGTCAAGTGGTCAAAAAAGCCCCCGAGTCGCATGAGTATGTGGATGGGACCCTGAAAGGACTAAGGGGTGCATAGACGAGCAATGAAATGCGCTGCATGAAACATGAATGATGTATGAGATAGCGGATGTCAACAAATAGATCGGCTAGAGGTCGGAGCTGAGGGCACCTAAGTGAGGCCACAGAGCCCTACATGACTCAGTCCACGGGCCTATGCCAAGGGGTGTCCCTCCACCTCAAAGACGTTCCAAGACTTTACGCTTAGTGAACGGATGTGTGGCCCAAGGAAGACGATTGACCTACGAGTAAAACAAGGAAACTCTCAAAAGACTCCTTAGACTGCTTGAGTATTGGAAGCAGGACTGCCTGGAGGTGCCTGGTCTCAAGCTAGGTCCATGTACAGCCAGGGGGTCCAGCGTTTGTGAAACGCTCGACCCTCAAGAACAACAAATTTTGACGAGTTTTCGGCCAAAAAACTCAGTTTCAATTTCGTTCAAAAAATAAAAAAATGTCCATTTTGACGAAATTGTCGTTTTTGGTCGTGCGGTCTCACGGATCGTGCGATCGAAATTGCTCACGCCATGCCCAAGCATAAGGAGCACCAGGCTGCTCCTTATCAAAAGGAGCTAGCCAGTAGCCTGTGTCGAATTCGATCCCAGCATTTGTTGGGCGACAATCTCATATAGTACCTACTAGGCTAGCTCCTACTACGAGAGTAGTATCAACAACTCTTTTATTTGAAGAGCTGCAACCCAGCAGGTCTCTCGCGTCTCTAGGTTGACTCCCCCTGCCTTACCCACAAAACTCGCTCACCAACCATCTACTCGGCGGTTGACTAGTTCACTAGGTCTTCCAACAACCCTTTTAAGTCATGGTCGCGACATTGGATCTTGAAGAGTTTGTTCTCGCGGTAAAAAAAAATTGTAACCCGCACGTTCACGCCACGGCCGTAACCACTCTTTTTGGTCACTAAGGATCTGAATCGCGTGGCTGTCTCTTATGTAAGTAGAGTACGTTGAGATTTGGTACCCCAACGGCCGCACGTCCCTACGTCCCGGTTGAGGCCTCAACAAGGCGAAGTACAATCACTTACACCGCCTTGTATCACCACTATAATGACACTATTCTCTCAGAAGCTGCAGGTGTCAAAAAGTTTTAGCACTTCGGTCATAGGTATGGTCAAAATATCTTTAGAACAGGAGTCAATCTTGATCAAGTTCCTCAATTTAATGAAATGGTCAGACGACGTCCGACGTTAAAAAACCCGAGTAGATACCCTTATAAGGGTTTCTGCTCTGATAGTACCACTTCAACTAGCCTTTGTAGCTACTTCCACTATCATCGAGTCTCCTTCAAGCTCCCATACTCGCAGTGATTCCCCTCCTCTTACTCCAGTTGAGTCGAGAACTCTCCAGGGTGCATTGGGGCGGCATCTACTTGCCTCATGCAACTGTGAGTGAGGCGGACTGCCCCCTTGGCTCAAGTAGGCTGAGCACAGTGCTCTGCCCAGCCTATGGGCCTCTCCCATGTGCATAAGGTGAACTGAGGTACCCCCGAGGCCCTATCTCACTCATGGGCCTCCCTGGAAGCACCAAGACTTCATTTTGGTCAGACACATGCAGTCTGAGTGGTTGGTACGACCTCGGACTGTCGTTGTGGTCACTCTATGCTTTACTTTCATTTGCAGATGTTGTCCCTTGGATCCGAATAATCAAGAGACAACCAGGGTTGAAAAAGGGTGGCCTTTTGGACTCCCTCTCAAATTTTTCAAGCCCTACTCAAAATGGAGTGGGCCGACGTACCTCTTGTACCTCGGTACATTTTCTTCCACGGATCTGGTCAAAATCCAAGGCCAACTCTAACATGAGCTACATCTACGTGACCCTTGCTTCAAATTAGAGCCCTAGGGGCTCTTCTTTTCGATGTCTAGTGTATCTGGCCACAACTCTTGGCAAAGTACACTGCTTTGTCTCTTTCCTTATTTTGTTTCTTTCCATTTTTTGCTGCTAACTCATTCCGGAGTTGACTGTTTGAGTTTGCATCACTAAAACGACCATATTATATCCTCCATATATCTGAATCTCAGATCTAAGTCCCAAAATAAAATTGACCACCACTCTTTTGCTTTTCCTTTTGTTTTTCTCATTTTAATTCGGATTTTGTTGAGATAAGAAAAGACCCTAAGGACCTTATCTCTTCACTCTGGATTTACCTCCACTTATGACAGTCCCAATTCTTCGTTTTTTTCCTCTCATTTTTCCTTTTCTTTTTCTTTTATTTTTGACGTGACAAGTGTCAACTACCTGTTGATATTTTTTTTTTGTCATGGATCTTGTTGTAGTCTGTTATTTTTTGGTATGCAAAAATGGCACCCCCACACTCTTAGGGGCTCCATTTTGCCTCCATTAGTCCCAAATTGTGGCCCCCTTTGCTCCGATTTTTAGCCTATTTACTGCATAGAGCCTCTCAAAGCTCTATTTTCTCGTGCTTGGTTGGTCCGAGATATCCAGGACTGCAACCTAGACCCTCCTCCTTTCGTTTCTTTCACCTTCTCTCCGAAAAACGCGCAACTTGGTGCTAATATTTTTCACCGTTAGATCTTGATCTCGACGGTGCATCTGATTTTGATTGTCCATTCCTCATGTTGCCCCATAGTTTCCTTGGGACAACTCAAGTCCCTGCCACTTATCCCATACTAGTCCCCTCTCCTGGTCCCATCGGTGGTCCCGCCGGTCCCGATCCCAAATGCTGATTGTTTTTATTCCCGTCTAGTCCCTGACATCATTCTCAATGCTTTCCCAATTTTATTTGAGACTCCTTAGTTCCCAGCAGTCTCGTTGTCCGTTTTCTCATGAGTCACTAGTGCGCCGAATATTATCGGTCGCTAGATTTTGATCTCACGGTTGCCAATCACCGTCACAACTTGCTCCCATATACTTGAGGCATTGTTTACTAGTGCCATGAGGACGTCAAGGCTTATTTTTCCTTGGTCCCAACACTCCATTGCAGCCCGTTAATTTTTAAAGTGCAATGGAGGGCATGTTCTTAGTCTCATTGCCCCCAAACTTACCCCATACTGAAACTAAATGAGGCGACACATTTCCAAGTGCGTCCAGACTCAATATTGGCTCCGGATGTACTTGAAACATTTGTTTACTTTAAGTTTTGTGATCCGTTGTAAAATGGACTACCTCCCTCTTGACTTTTGTCGACTTTCTAAGAAAAAATCAAGAAAAACTAGAACATTTTGTAACCGTTTCATCCTAGGATGAATTCGGTCAAAAAATGTATCTGAAACATGTGTTTCCATGACCTCCAAGTGTTTGTGTTTGACCGTTTCAGTCCCAACTACATCTAGACTTGATGCAGGTTTGTACAATGCACCTAAGCCTTCTTCAAGAGGGGACAAGTTAACCATGATGTGGCGGCTTGTCCTTTTTTCACTCCCACACTCTCCCACCTCTCCTTTTCTCTCTCTAGGCCTTTTTTTTTCCACCTTTGCTGACCGTTTTATCTTGAACTACACTATAACCTCATTTTTCAGGTTCATTGCACCTGGACCCCCAGAAACTGAAGCTCTTGTAGTCCGTTGCATCCCTTTTGAGTCCCTTCTCAATTTCAAGGTCTATAAGCTTTGTAATTGAGATACCGTATTTCAGGTTTATTGTGCTTGGACACTAGTGTGGCTGGTACCTAG